GTGGTGAAGCTGTCCCCTATAGCCTCTATTTGGTCTAAACATGCCGATGAGAGAATTCTACAAGCACCCGGAGGAAAAGATTCTAGGAATCTAGGGAACAAGGGAAAAGCCACCTTCCTCTGGGAAGAGCGTCTTCAGTAGACATCTGGAAGCATCCGGAAGTAGTCTGCCAACCTTCAGTAGGGTGACATCCAATAGCCAGATGTTGAGTCTGCAACACGTCAGTCAGGGTGAAGATGCATCTACTTTTTGAAGACACGGAGCTGTCGGGAGCACTAGTCCCCCCAAAGGGGAGAAGTGACATATTTGAAATCTATAAATTCAAATACGTGTTACATTTCATGTTCATTCGTCATCCCTAGGAGAAGCAAATAAAGGTTTTCCCTCCGCTCAAAGTGGATGATGAACGACTGCTTAGCATTGGGTGGCAGGAGCCCTTGTCGCCATTATTGACTTTGTATGGAAAACAGTTCATCAGCTGCTGCTGTCAGTATTGGGTCTGCGCCCCCTGCAGGGCAGGAGGAAACTGGTTCTGATCACTCGGGGGCTGATCTGAACCAAGGATAATTACTCTCCTGTTAAAGGCAGACTTCCCTCATCGTCACCTTCCTGGCCTCCAAATAGAGAACAGGTACTCATAAACAGGATTGGGCCTCTAAAGATTGCAGGGTGCTCTGGGCTGCATTCCACAGATGGAAGGAATGAAAAGGACTCCCTCCTCCAATCATTTCTCCATCTATTTGCTTATTAATTACAGCGATCCATTGACCTGCTGCGGACCCCGCTTTGTGCCAGGTGCACAGTGGCTCTCTTTCCAGGTAGTTCACCTCAAGAATCTTGCAAGGCTCGAACTCCAATGGTTTTGAAAATCCTCCTAAAATTCTGTTTTTCTGGTCCTACTCAGAAGGCCGCACTAAGCAGAGCAAAAGCCTATTCACACCAAATGCTGTGACTGAGCCCACAGTTATTCGAAGCCAAGGGACATCCAGGAAGGGCTAGGATGCCATTAGGAATTAACCAACCAAACAAAAAACACAAAGCAAAAAAATCCACTGCTATTGAATTGATTCCAAAAACTAGCAACAAGTGGATATGTAGAGGCCTGATTAGGAAATTCTATTATTTTTGAAGGACATTCACTACTAAAGCTTAATATTTAAAAAGATTTTAAGTGATGACTTGAGAACATAAGGCTTTGTCGCATATAAACAGCGCCATCTGTGTGCAAAGACCGAACCAAACACACTGCCATCCAGTCAATTGTAACTGATAACGACACCATGGGACAGAGTAGAACTGCCACTGTGCATTTCTGAGACTGTAATTGTTTGTGGGTATAGAAAACCAAGTCTTTCTCCCTGGGTTTACAGGCTAGATAACATTTAATATGTACTTACATTTTTCTTAAATAGATGAATCCTTTTCTATGTAGACCCTAATCAATTAATTAACTTTTAAAATTTCTTAGCCTACAATATAACGGGTCTCAGTCCAACTCATTTAAGGTTTACTAAAGAATTTGTATTTTCAGAGCAAAAATAGAAGGCATTATTTATTCAGTTAGGAAGCAGTAACAAGTACACATTCTGTTTCAACGACAGCACCAATCATAGACCAATTACTCAATTAACATGTGGGTTGTGATTGAGTACATTATTCTATGGCGCATGCTAATGTGTTTATATGTGTTTAGCGTTCACCTGAAGATGGCTATAGGTTGTGGTATTCAGCTAAAACAGAACAAAACAAATTGAAAGCTTAAATCTGAGATGTGATATATAGATACGGAGAAAGAAGTCGAAGGAAACACAAACATGGCTTAACACATTGGAGTGGCAGGGTCATGAGCAATTTATTTTGTGGCCTTACAAAGTTGGTTGTGCAATAAAAAATGGCTAAACAGAAATGGATCCAGACTGGCTTGTTTGTTTTGAGTGGATTTGAGAAGAGATTTAAGGGAGGGACCGCTGCATGGTTTGTATAGTGCAGATATGCCTGTAAATCTCACATGAGACAGTTTCTACTGTCTTCTTTTCTTTCCAGAATATCAGGTGCCTAAGTGGAGGACTTGGGGTGACAGTGACAGAGAGGAGAGGAGGTTTGGGCCTGGAGGCTGTCAGTACCCAGAAGAAGAGTCCAGAAAGTCAGGAGCTGTATTTCTCTAATACCAAGTATCCATATGGTTGAAAAGAGTTGGGCTATCCCTCCTGCCCGTGCACCCTTCTCCTCTTACCTGGATACATAATATCTCACAGGTATAATCACCTCACCTGGAATAGAAATGAGTATCCAGAATATGGGCTACATGCCAAAAATAATCATCCTGATTTTCAGATCGTCGTCGGTCCAATGTTCTTGTTTTGATGAAGCAATCTGCCAGTGGAAGCAGGTGAAGTCTGTCCTCGTGGGAAGAGAGGAAAACCTATTCTGGTTAACAGGGACATAGCAAATTAGAGGCATGGGGAGAAAAAATCCGCCTTGCCTGAGACAATAGATGTTCTATAAAATTGAGCCTCTTCACATTATCATGGAAATTACTTTTTGGCGGTGGTGCAAAAAGGTTGTTACACATTATTGTTAATTGTGGTTGGAGACACAAAGCAATATGATCATTTGATGGCTTATTTGTTATTCAAAAAATGACAGCTTTTATGTGCCAGTAAATATGAAATCACCTGGAAACAGCCCTGTAGATGTAAGAGGCATCTAAACGTCCTTTCTTAATGCATACAGTGGATTTTAATGAAGCCATGTGAGTTTATCCCTAGCAGATTACCTGATGGCTCTGTCGCGGTCCTCCAGTGAGAGCACCCTGTCTGCCTTGTGACTGCCAGGCAGAGAAAGCCGTAACTTGGTCAGATTTGTAGTTGGTGGGTGGTAGCTTTACTGGAACCCGATACAAGAGACACTTAGTCTCCAATTCCACGTGTGCTTTTCATCATGTCCAGGCTGCACTTGACAGCCCCATTCCCGCGCCACCCCCCAGTCCCCAGCCTCCCTTTTCTTCAAGAAGGAAAGGTTGAAAGACAGCAGGAGACCTTGAATTCATCCTGGGTAACAGAAATGCGGTTCAGACCAAGGGTGTCTTGCATACATCCTCGTGTGCCATTTGCCGTGACAGGACACCATTTTCCAAGATGACACCGACTATTGGGAGGTTTTAATATGATTGCCTGCAAATGCGTGAGAATGCTCCGTGTGTTTGTCATGCATTGTGCTCTTTTCGGACTTGACTCTCTTCTCTTCCTTCCTCCCTCTTCCTTCTCCCTCTCCTGGTCTCTCTCCCTGTCCCTGTCTCTCCCTTTCTCTGCCTTCACTGCCCTCCCCCGCCATCCCCACACACACCTTTTCCTGGAACTGCTGCATCCTTGGCTGGTAATCTTTAAACCTGGGCTGCAGTGATTTCTCTTCATACAGCCACACATTAAGCACATCTTTCATGCTTCTCCGAACCATACTCAGAGAGTGCCAATTAATAAGCTGACGGGAGGAAAGTCAATGGGCAACATTAAGGCCTCCTGTCTGAAGGTATCAGGTGTGCACTCTGAGGGAGTGAAAAGAGTCCTGCCGAGACTTGACAATGAGGCACTGTGTCACACATTCCTAGAGTCACAATGCGAGAGAATGAAAACCATTCTCAGTCAGCTCCTTCAGCGCCTGCTGATTGTGGGTGGTTCGCGCGGCCCAGGGGGAGATCCACGGAGCATCCGAAGTGGAGTATTTTCACCCCAGCCTATGGGAGACAGCCCTGATGATCTTCACCTAAAATAGTCAACCAAACCAGCCTCCATCGAATCCATTCTGACGCATCCCGACCCAAAGGACAGAAGGGATTGCCCGCGGGGCGTTGCCAGGGCTATGTTCTTCAGGGAAGCAGATTGACGCATCTTTCTGTTGCTGGAGTCAAACCCCTGACCTCTGAGTTAGCAGCCACACACTTCACTGTTGTGCCCCCAGGGTGCCTTCCTCCTCCTGGATGTGGGGCTTCGATGAGTGAATCCACTGACTGGCATTTAACGGCAGCAACAAAGACCGTGTTCTTTTGTCAGTAAGCGAAAGGCCGTCCGATTGCTCTCTCTAGGGAACTTGCATTGGCATCACCTCAAAACGGTCGCAGACATCTTTCTAGGACCACGTGACTGCTCTGCCAGCTCCTTCCATGCTTATGTCAGTCCTTCTCGGGACACACACTCGTGTTTATGGAGCTGATGAAACATGCTGGGCTTTACTGTAGCTGATGAGCGTTCCCGGTAAACAATACAGATCAATAGGCCAGGTCTCCCAGAGCTTGTGCTCCAGTAAAAGGGATTTCAGAGGGTAAACTAAATAAGCAAACTGTGTAGGAGGTTAGCGGTTGATATGGACAGTGGGGCAAGGATGAAGGAATGGAGCGGGGTGACTGCTCTTGAAGTGGTGACCGATAGTGGTGTCTACCAGGAATGAGCCTTTTGATCATTCGTCTTTGTTTGCAGAGTCAGAAAGCCGGGCTCAGGGTGGGATGGCATAGAATATTGCTGACGGGGTGGCACCAAAGTGTTTGTGGCAGAAGAGAAACATTCTTTCTCTGCCACACGTACGCAGACTGGGGCACATCTTGCTCTTGGATCTGCCTCCCAAATGGACAGGAGACAGGGCCTAGTGTGGAGGGGAATTGACTTTTTAGGAAAAGAAGGAAATATTCCAGATGAAGGAAGGCACCTTAGAAGGAAACAAGGGTCCCATTGAAGGGAAGAGAATGCAGGCCTTGCCTCCTTCCTTCCTCACCGATTCTTCTTCCATTTCATAGTGCAAATTGCTTCATGGCTTTGGTCTAAGGTCAGGGAATAAACCAGACTTAGTTGGAAGTCCGTGTTTAGGCAACTATCCCTTGGCTGCCCTTTGACCTTCCCTTGTCAAAAATGTAGATCATTTTCAAATTTGGTAAATTTGTAAACTAAACACTCTGGTTTCCTTTTATCAAGATAAACATTTTCTTTCTTTCTTTCCTTTTTTGGCTGCAGATTATGTTGCTCACAGATCCGGAGATTGAGAGCAGTTTATTGATCAGCTCAGATGAAGGAGCGACCTATCAGAAGTACCGGCTGAACTTCTACATCCAGAGCTTGCTTTTCCACCCCAAGCAGGAGGACTGGATTCTGGCCTACAGCCAAGACCAAAAGGTCAGCTGGCTCACCTTGCTTGAGAGAACAGGCCATGTTCAGCAGCGGGGAGTCAAATGTCAAGGCCGTTCGGATACTGTTGGTTAACCATCTCTCCATGTCTTTCCGGTCGTCATGTTTGCCTGTGAATTCAGTGCCAAGTCTGCAGGGCAGGGGTGCTGAGCAGCAGGGAAGGCCTCGGGTGGCTGGCTTGAGCTAGGGCAGTGGCTCAAACAGCATTGGAAATAAAGGTTAGGCAAGGGGATGCTTCAGGCAACTAGGGCCTCCTTAGCTTTCTGCATAGAATTCAAGGCAGATGGATGGATGGATGGATGGATGGATGGCTATAGGTGATTTTTTTTTCTGGGCCAAGAACTCATAGCTTTTCTTAGACCCTCATAGGGAAGCATGATCCCCCCAACATTTACACCAGCCTGGGATTTGCTGAACAATGATAGAAGATGCCAGATACATAACATTTATTCAAAACCTGCTTGTCTCGGGATTTTTTTCCACTCTTGATGGTTGGGTTGAAGTTCTTAAAATATACTTCCTAAGGACCATTAAAAGCGAACTAAACTAAACTCACTGCCATCACGTCCATGCCGACTCTTAGCAACCCTGTAGGACAGGGTAGAACTAGCCCGGGGGTTTTCTGAAACTGTGACTGTTTATGAGGGTAGAAATTCCTATCTTTTTTCCTTCAGAGCAGCTGATGGTTTTGAACTGCTGAACTTATGGTTTTCAGTCCCGTGCATAGCCACGACTCCACCAGGGCTCCTTAATGAGCATTCAGTGGGATTATAATATAAAAGATAAGATAAAATGCCATCAATCATATATTATATACTGGGGTTATTCTCTAAATTAAATACAAGTAACTACCATTAAGAACCACTTATATTCCAAATAGCTAATTAAATTAAAAATAAGAGCAAGAAAATATACATGGGTAAATGAGAGAGCGTGAGTCTCGCGAGAAAAATACAAAAGGGAAAGTAATGCGAAATGTAGGAATGCATTGTATGAAAGGTGTCAGCAGTCAAGTCAGCTTAAGAATTCTATCCAAAGTGATCCTGTGTGTAAAATGACATGCAGTGACATGGGAGTGAAAGGAGAGTGGAGGTTTGATTCAGCGGGGCTCGTGTGCATGAGTGGGCTTCTTCAGGAAGGCAAGGCCAGGGTACAAGCAGCTTCCCAGAGTCTCCACTGATGTGAGCCTTTTGGAAGAAGCAAATTAAAATTCTTAGGATTGGAATTTTATTCATGCTGCCCTTGCTGCCAAATAAAATGCACATTAAACCTAAAAATAGAAAGGATTTACAATTAGTATTTTTTTCCCCTTGAGCAGGCTGGCTACCCTTCCAGTCGAATGTACAATTTTGTTCCTGGAGTCAGGCCAGGGTGCATCTGGTCCAGGATGATGCCACGAGCAGAGGCAAGCACTGAGTGGCTCAGGACACAGAGCATGAGTTGTTTAATTCCACATTCCACCTACCACCACCCTCACCCCAATGCTAGAGGCATGTCAAGGGCCCGAATTGCCAGGCGAAGCGAGAACTATGCATCTTTGCACTTCTGCAGCAAGAGAAGCCCAGAAATAGAACCCTTCCGGTCCCAGCATGTCAGACAGAGCCTCCCATCCTGACGGTGGTCCAGCAGACAACCCTGAAGACTTGGACAGCTGGGCTGTAGCCCCAACTCACACAATAACGGAACCGTTATTTAATACTGTCTTTCTTCATCTAAAAGATGTATGAATGATTATAATGCAGATGTACTTACCATCCACAAGGTTGTACAAAATCAAGCATTAGATCACACTTCAGCAATCAGTTTGGCTGTATATGGAGTCTCGGTAAGACAATGTGTGTGGTACACTGCCGACATTACAAACAGAAACAAAAGCTTATCAGGAAGCTTGCAATCCAACTGGAGAAAGAGTAAGCCATCCACCAGCACTCTAAGATGCCAGCAGACAGTGATCGGATGGACACCTAAGGGACCCCCAATCCAAGTCGGCTCTATGAACGATATGGGCTATAGTTTACAAAGGTCAGAAGATGGAGACCTAGACATCTCTTTGCTATAATTGTGTTGTGTAATGATTGCACCCAAATCTTAAAGAATCTAGAGGCTTTCTGTTAGGGTGGGATACATTTTAGAGAAAAGTCATGACTGAAAAATCATGTACCATTAAACAAGCAAATATGTTTACAAGATTGTGAACTTATCTGGCTGAAACTGATATTTGGTTTAGCTAATTATTGTGGGCATGAGGCTTCGGTAGGCGAATCTTGACTGCGTTGAATTCTAGATAAGAACATTTTTGTTTCCTTAAATGGGAACCTTTTGAAAAACTTGAACCTGGAAGATCATGTGCTCAGACCTGTAGATTATAAGGGTTACCCACTGGCATCAAGTTCAATTCTGACTTGTTAGGGGCCATTAAGTCGGTTCCAACACAGAATGACCATGTGCCCAACAGAAGGAAGCATTGCCCGGCTCCGCACCATCCTCACAGTTGTTCCCATGTGTGAGCCCATTGTTGCAGCCACCGTGCCAGTCTAGCTCGTCAAAGTTCTTGCTCTTTTCTGGGTCCCTTCTGCTTTTAAAAATCATGATGTTCTTCTCCAGGAACTGGTCTCTTCAATATTATATCTGAAGTGTGTGAAATAAAGTCTCACCATCTTGCCTTCTGGCCATACTTCTTCCAAAACGGATTTGCTTGCTCGTTTGGCAGTCCGTGGTACTTTAAAGAACCTTCACCAGCACCGTAAGTCACATGCATTGATTCTTCTTCCGTCTTCCTGATTCAGTGTTTAACTTTCATGACGTGATTGGAAATAGCGTGTCTCGGATCAAGGGAACCATAGTCCTCCAAGTGAACTTCTTGCTCTTCAACCCTTTACAGTGGGCTTGTGCGGTAGACTTCCACAGTGCAATGTGCTCTTTAATCTCGTGACTGCTGCTTCCCTGAACATGGACGGGGATCCAAGCAAGATGGAAAACATTCTTGATGACTTCAGTCTTGTTATATATTTTTTTCTGACTCAGCAACTCTACATCCACTTTCTACAATTAAATCCTTATAGGAGCAGACAGTCTCATCTTCCTCCCATGAGCAGCCAGTAGGTGTGAACACCAGCCTTGTGGTCTGCAAGAGCCCTTTGTGGTCCTTGTTCTGCATTTATGGAACCCAAACCTTAAGGGGATCTTCCATTACCCAGAGTAAAATCACATGCTTCTATCACCTGTAGAAGTCCTATGAATGCATTAACACCTTATATGAAATTTGTTAGGCCTGTCATTGGATGGAACCCTGGTGGCATAGTGAGTCACACATTGGACTGCAAGCCGTAAGGTCAGCAGTTCAAAACCACTAGCATCGCCGTGGGCGAAAGAGTAGGCTTGCTGCTTCTGTACAGATTCATAGTCCCCAAAACCCACATGGGCAGTTCTACTTTGTCCTCTTGCATCACTGTGAATCAGATTGGACTTGATGGCAGTGCTTTTGGTTTGGGTTTGGCTATTTTGATGGTGATAGTTTGAGATGAACGGATATGTAGAAGGCCAGCCATCTTTTTTTTTATTTATTTTTTGCTGACTCCCGGTGTAACCTGAAGGACATGAAGGAGCCGTTATCCTGGGGGGAAACGTGGAGACCCTGCTACTCTGAGTGTCAGCACAAAGCTCCCTACCTTTAGAAAATGAGGGGTGGAACATGCAGGGGAGGGGAGTGGCCACGAGCCATCAGAGGAGCCAGTAGCTGATGGTGTTGGCTCGAGGTCAAATTGGAAAGGGCTGTGGCCATTCCGGTGGGTCAGTGATCTGGAAATAATAGCTGGCAATCACCCACGAATCACGGCGCTTTCAGCACTGATGAGAGGCAATTCTGGGCGCCAACGAGGCCCCTTGCTGCTGCTGGTAGAGCAATGACTGTGTTTGCCCAGGAAACGAGAACACGTACTCTTCTGAGTGTCACTCATCAATTTTTCGGTGACGGCTGCTATGACTGCTGCTGCTGCTGCTGCAGAACGTCCGACTACTGTCATAGTCCTGGTGCCGGGCTTTGCTCTTGGGGCGCCATGTTACACCAGATTCAGTGAACAGAGTCCTCAGGCAGAAGGTACTGTCTCTGAGAAAGTATCTTGTTGAGGTGCCAACTCTTTCTGACTCACCTGTGAGGACGGTTGTCTCCTCTCCTCTGCTCCCTTTGGCGTGCTTGCTGCTGTCGCTCTTTCAAGCATAGTCCCCCGGGTTTGATTTGTTCTCATTCTGATGGCCACTGAGTGCACGCCAGCCCAATGCTACGCAGCCCGCGTGTAACCAGCACAACACTGTGCCCCAGCGAGCACACCCTAGCTCTGAACTTAAAACCGTAGCTTTCTTTCTTTCTTTCTTTCTTCTTTTTAAAAAATTTATTTATTAATTTTAATTTTATTTCATTATTATTGTTTAAAGATCATTACATTGGGGCTCTAACTGCTCTTATAACAATCCGTACATCAACTGTATCAAGCATATTTGTACTTATGTTGCCATCATTATTTTCTAAACATTTACTTTCTATTTGAGCCCTGGGTTTTAGCTCCTCTTCCCCCCATTCTGCCCCCCTTGTGACTCCTTAATAAATTACAGTTCTTAATTATTTTCATGTCTTCCACTAACCGTTGTCTCCCTTCCCCTTTCTGTTGTTTGTTCCCCTGGTGTGGGTGTGGGAGGGTTATGTGTCGATGATTGCAATCAGTTCCCTCTTCCTCTTCTCCTCTCTTCCTCCGACCCTCCTGGTATTGGTACTCCCATTTCTGTTCCTGAGGGGTTTATCTGACATCGAGTCTGTGTGTCATGAGCTCTTCTCTGTACCAGTGTACAGGCTCTAGTCTGGCTCGAAGTGGGGTCATGATAGAGGGGGCTACAAAACATGTCTTCACTAGATCTTCCAAAGGTAGGTGAGTTAGTTAATTGTGCCAGCCTGGCCAATAATCACATGTGGTGCTGGTTGAAAGGCGGAGGGATAA